GCTGGCAAAATTGAATATCCATTTACAGAAGAATGAAACAAGATCCATACCAGACCCCACACACAAAAACAAACCCAGATGGATCAAAAACTTAAATGTAAAACCCAAAACCATCATGAAAGATAAAATAGGAGCAAACCTTGGGGTTTTAATTTAAGCCATAAATGGACTATAGACTGTCAAGCATAACTCAAAAGCACAAGCAGTGGAAAAAAACTGGATGACTGGGACATTTTAAAAATTAAATTCTTACAAATGTCAAAAGACTTCTCCAAAAGGGTAAAAAGAGAACCTACAGTTTGGTAAAAAATATTTGGCTATGACATATCTGATAAGGAACTTATCTTTAAAATTTATAGAAAACTGTTATACTTCAACACCAAAAAGACAAACAATCTAATTCAAAAATAGGGAAAGGACATGAATAGATACTTCATTAAAGAAGATATACAGGCGGCCAACAAACACATGAGGACATGCTCACTATCATTAGCCATTAGAGAGATGCAAATCAAAACAACAATAAGATATATTCTCATCCTGGTAATAATAGCAAAGTTCAACAAGACAGAAAATAACAAATGTTCGCAAAGATTTGGGGAGATTGGAACCTTCATTTACTTCTGATGGGACTGTAAAATGGTATGGGCACTGTGGAAAACGGTATGGCATTTCCTTAAAAAATTAAAAATAGAAATACTATTTGATCCAGTGATTCCATTACTAGGAATATATCCTAAAGAATTGAGATCTAGAACGTAAATAGACATATGCACAACCATGTTCATTGTAGCACAATTCACTATAGCAAGGAGATGGAAAGAACCTAAGTGCCCATCAATAGAGGAATGGATAAATAAACTGGTACATATACACAACGGAATACTATGCAACATTAAAGAATAATGAATCCATGAATTACCTCATAATGTGGATGAACTTGGAGGACATCATGCTGAGTGAAATAAGTCAATCACAGAAGAACAAATATTCTATGAGCCCATGCAAAAAGTCAAGGAAAGGTTTAGGCAACGACAGAAATTTACTTTGTTGGTGTTCTGGTTACCTAGTGCTGCTCTGACAGAAATATATCACAAATGGGATGGCTTGAACAAACAGGAGTTTATTTTGTTACAGTTCAGGAGGCTAGAATTCCAAGTTCAAAGTGCCAGGCTCTAGGGGCTGTGTGAAAGCCCCTTGACCTTGGGCTTCAGCTCTGCCTCTTGCTCATGGCCCAGTGAAGCCAGAGGTATCTCTTCACTCAGGCAGCTACTGGCTGCTAAAGCTGACAAGCCCAAGGTTGACAAATAAAATGGTACAGTCTTGATATTACCAAATAACACAGCAGGCCATTGATTCAAGTCCATTGAAAATCCCAAGGTCAGCAGAGCGTGGCAGGCTGCTGAACAATGACTCAGCTACACGCAGACCATATCCCTGAGGCAGCTACTCAGCTGCTCACAGTAGATTCCACCATGGAGTTGATTGCCAGTCTCATCATGGGGAATACTACATCCAACTATTCAGCCACTTAACCAGGCCCAGCCAAGCTGATGCACAAACTTAACTACTGCAGTTGGTTACCGGGGAGGGGAAGAGGAGGGAAAATATCTGATTAGTAAAGAGTCACGTATTGATCTGGGTGAAGGGAAAGGCAGAATAACAAAAGTGTGTGACTAGCAGAGTGACAACAGGGAAAAGGAGGACACAGAAATGTACACAAAAGATATAGACAACAGATTATTACATGCACAATGCTGCATTACCAATGGTAGCAAACACTAGGCTATGGGTAAAGGCACAGACAGGTGAGAAGATCAGGTGTGGGTAGGCAAACAGGAATATGCCCAGGACCAAGAATAGATTTGGCTGGAGATAGTCTTATATATGTACTTATAGTACAGAAATAATGGAGGACAAGTTTGGAGTAGCTTCTCAGAGACAACCAAACACCTTAAAAGAGGGAGTCACTGGGCTTGTGGGCTCAGGATCAGTCCTGGGGGGACATCATGCTCAGCTGGCACAACATACCATATAAAAATCTTGTTTTACATCCTACTTTGGGGATTAACAACTGGGGTCTTAGAAGCTTTTAAGCAGCCATCTAAGATTCAGCTATTGGTCTCCCTTCCTCTGGAGCAAAGAAGAGTGAAGAAAATCAAAGTCATTTGGAAACAAGAAGTCCAAAGATATGACGGACCACAGGGACCTCAGCTTTCAAGACTCTGAGACCAAAAGAACTAGATAGCACCTGGCTACCAATGCCAACCACTCGGAAAGGGATCAAAATTGGAGATCCTGCATAGAGTGAAAGGAAAAATGTGGAACAAAATTCAAAAACACAAAAATGACCAGGATTACTGGTTGGACAGAGACTGGTTGAACCCCCAAGACTTTTGCTGTAAGTTATCTTTTGGGCCTGGAACTGAACTCACTTCCTTGAATTAGCTCTCAACCAAACAATAGAAAGAGCTATATAAGCAGAACACTTACCCTGGGAGATGCACTACCTAGATCAAGCAACCATGAGACATCAGAAGGGCAGCATTTGTGTAGAGGGAAGGCTGGACAGGCAGGAATGAATAGATAGGAAGGGCACAGGACAGGGAGGAGATGGATGGAGAGCTGTTTATCATTGGGGATTGTAATCGAGACCATGAAACCAAATGTTCATGAACTATTGAGAATAAAACAAATCTGCTTTGTAAATTTGCACCCAAGTCACAATAAATTTTTTTTTTAATGTGGTGTCAATGAAAATTGTTAAGTACTGTATTTTCTGTGTTATTCAGTGATATTATGATATTATTCAGTGATAGTTTTAAGTTTTAGGTTGCTTAGAAGTTTAGAAGGAGCCCTAATCACGGGTGGTGCAGTGGTTAAACAGTCGGCTGTTAACTGAAAGGTTGGAGGTTTCAGTCTGCTAGCCGCTCTGCTGGAGAAGGATGTGGCAGTCTGCTTTCTTAAATATTTCAGCCTTGGAAACCCTGTGGGACAGTTCTACTGTGTCCGATAGTATAGTGGTGCTATGAGTTGGAATTAACTGCTTTTAAAACCTTTACTAGCTTTCTTCCTTTCCCTACCCCCAGTTTTTTTTTTTTTACCTATCTAGCAATTTTCCCTTCCCTCCCCTCCCATTCCTGATAACCAGCAAAGAAAGTTTCCTTCTATATATAAACCTTTCCTGGACTTTTTACAATGGTGGACTAATACAGTATTTGTCCTTCTATGATTGATTTATTTCACTCAGCATAAGGTCCTCCAAGTTCATCCACATTATGCAGTGTTTTGCAGATTCTATTTTGTTCCTTAGTGTTGCATAGTATTCCATTGTTTGTATGTACCATAGTTTGTTTATCTATGCCTCCATTGATGGGCACTTGGGTTGTTTCCATCTCTTTGCTATTGTGAATGGTGCCGCAATGAACATGGGTATACATAAATCTAATTGTATTCTGGCTCTCACTTCTTTAGGGTACCAACCAATCCAACCCATTGCCCTCGAGTCAGATCCGACTCATAGCGACCCCTCCTTGGGTTTCTGAGGCAGTATCACTATGGAAGTAGATTGCCCAACTTTCCTTCCAAGGAGTGGCTGGTGGGTTTGAACCTCCAGCCTTCTGGTTAGCAGTCAAGTGCCTTAGGCATTATGCCACCAGAGCTCCCTTCTTTAGGATATATACCTAGTTTGCTGGATCAAATGATATTTCTGTTTCCAGCTTTCTAAGGAATCGCCATACTGATTTCCACAGTGGTCATATCATTTCACAATCCCACCAGCAGTGTATGAGAGTCCCAATCTCTGCACATCCTTGTCAGCAGCATTTGTTGTTTCGTGTCTTGTTGAACTTTGCTATTAGTGCTGGTGTGAGATGGTTATCTCCTTGTTTTGATTTAGATCTTTCTAGTGTTTGATGAGGGAGCTCTGGTAGCATAGTGGCTAAAGCACTTGACTGTTAACCAGAAGGCTGGCGGTTCAAACCCACCAGCCACTCCTCAGAAGGAAGGTTGGGCAATCCTACTTCCATAGTGATACTGCTTCGGAAACCCAAGGAGGGGTCGCTATAAGTAAGGGCCGACATAAATTACGGCATATAACAACAAATAACAACAACAGTGTTTGATGATAGTGAGCATTCCCACGTGTTTGTTAGCTTCCTGAGTATCTTCTTTGTTGAAGTGTCTGTTCATGTCTTCTGTTCATTTTTTAATTGGATTGTTTGTCTTTTTGATGTTGAGGTGTTGAATTTTTCTATAAATTTTAGTGATAATTCCCTTGTCAGATATGTTGTTGCCAAATCATTTTTCCCAATATGTAGGTTATCTTTTTACTGTTTTGATGCACATTAAGAATTTAATTTTTAGGAGGTCCAAATCACCTAGGTTGTCTTCTGTTTGTGCATTTTGGGTTGTGTTTTATAGTCTATTTATGCCATAAATTAGGGCCCATAAGTTTGCCCCTATTTTTTCTTTGATGAACTTTATAGTTTTAGGTTTCACATTTAAGTCTTTGATCCCTCTGGAGTTAGTTTTTGCAAATGGTGTGAGGTATTGATCTTGTTACCTTTTTCTGCAAATGGATATCTAGTTTTGCCAGTACTGTTTGTTAAAGAGGCTATTTCTTCCCAATTTAATGGATTTTGGCCCTTTGTCAAAGATCAGCTGACCATAAATGGGTGGATCTTTTTCTAGGTTCTCAATTCTGTTCCATTGGTCCATGTGTCTGTCGTTGTTCCAATACCAGGCAGTTTTGACTACTGTGGCTGTATAATAGGTTTTGAGATCTGGTAATGTGAGACCTACTTTGTTGTTCTTCAGTAGTGCTTTGCATATCCGAGATCTCTTTCCTTTCCATGTAAAATTAGTGATTGGTTTTTCCATGCCCTTAAAGAATGTTGATGGGATCTAGATAGACAAAATCGAACTCCGCGAAGTCTGCCTTCATCGTGTCCTCTTATGTTTTTTTCTGGGAATGTTTTACACACACCGACGTACTGCAGATAACCGGAGGTGCGGGGTTTGTGGGTTCCCATCTAACTGACAAACTAATGATGGATGGCCATGAGGTGACAGTGGTGGACAACTTCTTCACTGGCAGGAAGAGAAACGTGGAGCATTGGATTGGCCATGAAAACTTTGAACTTATTAACCACGACGTCGTAGAACCCCTCTACATTGAAGGTAAGTGATAATGCCTTTGTTTTTCTGAAAATAATACATTATTATTATTTTGAACTTTGATGGGTGGCCTACCAGACCAGCTGGATTCTTTAAGGACACATTTAATGTTGTGTTGTGTTTTATTTTTTAATTAGTCTTACTATCTTCAAGGCACTCTCCTACTTTCTGTAATAAAGAATGGCTATCAAGTGTAAATGTCTTATCTTCACTATTTCATGGCACTTTGATTTTGAAATCCATGCAACTGTTGAGGTAGGGCTTGTGTATTATACATCCCTATTGGTTAACAAATCTGATGCCTGTCCTACTTGCGTGGAATTACTTTTAACTTCTTAAAGGTTATTAGCCAATTTAGAATGCTGAATTGATAATGAATTTCACATTTAATTCTGTAAAGGCTTGTGATAGCGTCACTTTAAAGGAATGACAGTTTGGGGGTCTAAGATAGACTTTAAAAAGGTTTTCCCTTCTCTGAGATTGAGAGCTGCTACCAGGTGCTTGATTAGTGGGTTGCTTAGGCTTACACAAGGAGCCCTAGGGGCACAGTGGTTAAGCACTCAATTGCAAACTGAAAGGTTGAGAGTTCAAACCCTTCCGTAATTACTTGTAGCCTTGGAAACCCTGTGGCACTTCTACTCCATCCTTTAGGTTGTTAGGAGTTGGAATTGACAGCAACAGGTTAGGCTCAGACATACTTTGCATTTTTTGTTTAAGTAATAACACTACGAGGTAAATGGTTTCATCCCCATTTATATATGTGAAAAACTAGAATTGGGTTTTGACCTGCCCAGAGTTGTTGTTGTTATGTGTCATGGAGTCACAGGCCCATTAAATGGCAACGCCAGAACTCAGCCTCAGGTTGTCTTACTCCACAGCTAATATAATATACTTTCCCCTCCTCCTGCGTTCTGCTCTTTTACATTATTATCAAATTGTATTTTCCGATGTTATTAAAAAGTGTCTGAGAACCAGTTTAATGACTGAGTAATATTTTGTTGTATGAGAATATACCATAGTTTATTTAATCTTTATTTTAAATTCTCTAGTGTTTCATTATAAACATCTGTATCTGAATTTTATTTTCTTAGTTAAAAAAGCCCAACTGTGAACCGTATACTATTATGTCTGCTTCATCTTTGATGATTTCTGTTTCACTTCTACATCAGTAGCAAATGAACATCATCTTAAAAAACAAAAATATTTTCCTAATTTGATAGAAAACCAATGGTTCAGCGTAATATATTTGGTTACTAAAAAAAGTTAGATTTTCTAACATGTTAAGTCACAAAAGAAATCCAAATAATTTATTTTCTATTAAACCCTCCCCCCTTTTTTTTCTAAAAGTTTGCTTTCAGTATGAAAGTTTATAAGGGCATGTTAACAATTTGGCCTATATTTAACATCTTCCCTCCTCCCAGTGTAATTTAGCCTTTTAATGTCATTGAAATTTTGCAGTTTTAATGTAGTCTTCACTGTTCATTTCCCCATTGCCATTTCTTCTTTAATGCTACAGCCGTCCCACGATTCGATAACTATTCAGCCATGGTGTTTTTTGTTCTTTTCATTTTGTAACATTTAAATGTTGAATCTATCTGAGATGTATCTTGGGGTTAAGTTGTAATTTTTGTTAAGTGATCTTGTAAAGTGAAATGAAGTGTTTAGGTAATAGTTGAATTGGCTCACTTTCCACATAGACTTCCTCAGGGTTGCTGTGAGGGTTCACTGAGGTAATGCATGTAACAGGGCTGGATAGTCAGAATTGTAAAGATCTGTCCCCAAGATGCCCCTCCTCCAGTTATTGTTAAAGACTGATCTAGGTGCTGCTGTGCAGAGACTTAGCTGATGGAATTAAGGTTATAAATCAGTGAATTTAATATATGGAGATTATCCTACATTATCTTTGTTGTTGTTATTGTTATTTGCCTTCGAGTTGGACCTGACTCATAGCAACTCCTCCTTGGGTTTCCAAGGCAGTATCACTGAGGAATTAGATTGCCCAACCTTACTTTTGAGGAGTGGGTGGTGGGTTTAAACCTCCAGCCTTTGGGTTAGCAGTCAAGTGTCCTAGGCACTATGCTATCAGAGCTCCTTCTGCATTATCTGGAAGGGCCAAATGTAATCACACACATACACACACACACACACACACACACACACAAAACCAAACTCACTGCTGTCAAGTCGGATCCAACTCAAAGCAACTCCACTTTGGGTTTCCAAGGTGATATCACTACAGAAGTAGATTGCCCAATCTTCCTTCTGATGAGTGGCTGGTGGGTTTGAACCGCCAGCCTTCTGGTTAGCAGTCAGATGCCTTAGGCACTATACCACCAGAGCTCCTCCATATGTAATCACATGAACCCTTAAAAACCAGAAGGAGGAAAAGTGTTACAGAGATTCCACAGAAGAGATGCATTGAAGAGAAGTGGCAGGAGGGGATGTCACAGAGATTCATAGTGTGAGGAGCTTGACTTGTGACTTTAAGGAGGCCATGAGCTAAAGAATGTATATAGCCTCTAGAATCTGAGAAGTACCTCAGCCAATAGCCAGCAAGGAACTGGGGACCTCAGGCCTACAGCTTCATGGAACTGAATTTTGCCAACAACCTAAATGAGCTTGGAAACAAGTTGATCCCCAGGTGAAAGGAGTGCTGCCTTGCTGCTGATTTGATTTCAGTCTTATGAGACTTGAGCAGAAAACCAGTGACCCACACTTGGACTTTGGATTGACTGAGGTGTGAGCTAACAAATGGATGTCATTTAAATCTCAGTGTTTGTGGTAATTTATTAGGGCAGCAGTAATACTTGGCCAATTTGGGGAGTAAGTACTCCCTAAGTGATAGCTATTGTTATTATTCTTTTTTTGTGCATGGCAGTATTTGTGTATGAAACTATTGATTATATAATTTAAATACCATAAACTAAAAAAAAAAAAAAAAAAAAAAAAAACCAAACTCACTGCCATCGAGTCATTTCTGACTCATAGTGACCCCTCCCTGAGTTTCTGAGGCGTTATCTCTACAGAAATAGATTGCTCAGTCTTCCTTCCAAGGAGTGGCTGGTACGCCACCATAGAGAGACCAAAATTTAGTAAAATTAGAATATTGATGAGAAAAATTATCTGCTTTGCCTATGCACTTTGACACTTACTAGCTGCTCTAAACCATTTCCATCGTTCCTGGCTATAGGCTGCATTGGAGTCACATGCATACACACTCACACACATACACTGACAGCACACACTGAATAGAGTCTTAGAATAAATGATCAATACTTTTTATCCTTGGCTCAGAGTAGTAAATTCCTACAAGTAGCATTCATGTTGGGAGAGCATGGGACATTTCTCCTCCTATGTAGTTTAAAGTTTATGTTATTAGCTGTCGCCTTCAGTGGTGTTCTAGCCTTCGTATTGAGTTCTTCCACATACTTGATAATCTTCCCTTTTCCCCGGGGCCCAGTCCCCCATCCATTCACTCTTTCTGCCCCCAGAATGTGTACTTGACTCTGAACTTCTTCTCTGAGGAAGTCTATCTTTTGATTCCCTGTGGTGGTCCAGTTGTGTTTTTTAAGGTAATAATCCCCATTTTTCTGTCTTAAATCAGACAAAAACATGTTTAATGAAATTAACTTAGTTTGATGTGCCCTATTCCCTTCCCTCCATTTTGCAATGTCTTAGGAAGTTAGCTTTTAACTGAGTGTCCATTCTGCTCTCAAGTTAATTGCTTTCAACTTGGCAGTGCAGTGGTAGTAACAGTGCACTTAAACTTTAGTTTTTTCCCTAACTAGATTTTACAGCTTGTGCTTATTTGAAATGGAAAATAGCCATATGATATAATATGTAGTCTATTCTTTTAGCAGCCATGAGCTATCTTTTTTTTTCTTTTTTGCCTAATAACAGTGTAAAATTACCTTCCTCAAAGTATATAACAAAGTACATGCACTCAACTCTTATACGTAACTCTGTTTCTTAGTGTATTTTTCCCTAGTAAAAGACTTTATTTTAGTTGATCTCATATTTGCACTACAGCAGGAATGTTCTTAAACTTTGAGAAGTATTTTGTAGGGTTTATTTTGGTTGGTTGGTTTTACTAGGGCTAACGGGTTGTTTGGAAGTCACGTGGTAACAATGGTGTCATTTACTCTGGCAGCATTGTTAATTTGCCTTCAGCACAGATTTTCTCCTATTATTTATAGGGTATAACCACTGTGTTTCAGAAGCAAAGATAGTCACCACATTATTCTATCTTTACATTTTTCATGGGCAGCTACTATTGTCTGAACTCAGAATGTACTGGTAGAGTTGAAGGAGAAAAATTGAGATTGCAGTTTTTTGAGGATACAGATCAAGAATAGAGTATTTTCGAATTCAGGTACTGCCAGATAGTAAAGAATTATAAAAACCGATCAAGACGAGGTGGTATGATTACAAAAAATCATAGGAGTTATATGGAAGCCTTGCATTGTCTGTGTTAAAGTATAGAGAAAGGATATCAGTGCATTGGAAGGAACCATAAATACTCATATAAATAACGTAATCAGAGTGTTACATTGCTTTTAAAACAACTCTGGATTTTGAATTGCTGTATGGAAAATGAATTTGCTCTATAAACTTTCACCCAAATCACAATTTAAAATTTAAAAAAAATCTGGATTTTACCAACCAGGGTATGTCATTTTGAGATGTTGAATCTACCCCACAAAATACTTAGTTCTGGAAAGTGTGAAGTTAACTATCTTTCTAGCACACTTGTTGAGGGCATGGTGAGGTTTCTGAGAAGCCAGGTTTAGGGGTAGCAGATGTGTGTGGGTTCTGTGAGTGATATGACATAACCATCAAGAAAGTTAAAATGGAACCACTGCATTGGGGACGGTCTTTGCTGCAGTGTGGAGGCTTGGAGGTCAAATGCTTGACCATGTGGGGGCTCCACTGATAAGCCAGGATGTCTGAAGAAGTGCCCATGTGGTCTTGTAGGTGAGGATCAGTTAAGCACATCAAGCAGT